TCTCTTGTGCCAAAGGAGGGGATCATTATCCAACACACTAAAGCAAATGAGTTCATTATCTGAAAGTGTGGATAGATCCACAATATATATGTTGTTCACTCTTTTTCCCTGCAAAACTACCTTGTCAGTGGTAAGATTAATCACAAAATATTTTGTAGAGGTGAATGCTACCATGTTACCTCTATCACACAATTGTGATACACTTATTAGACTATACTTCAGTCCATCTATCAAGTAGACGTTCTTAATAGAGTGAGAATCAGTCTTACCTACTTTTTCAACCCCAATGATCTCACATTTCTTCCTATTTTCAAAGGAGACATTACCTCATTTTAAGGTCCTCAAGTGAAAAGAACTGGTTCTTGCTTCCTGTCATGTACTTTGAGCAGTCCCTATCTATGTACCATATTTGGCTGCTCCCCTTTACTTGGACATGCAAAAGGAAATCAGGGGTTAGTCTTAGGAACCCAAACTAGTTTGGGTCCCTTTCTATAGGTAAAAGGATGAATCAAATTCTTTTTAGCCCAACTTGGTAACCTATTTTTCCCTTGAACAAATTCTTTGTTCTTTTGACTTATCTTTTCTTTTGCAGTGCATTCACTTTTATAGTGATCTGTTTTACCACAGTGTGTGCAAATCTTGTCCTCAGGAAGTGTGAGGTACTTGCTTTTGGGATCCCACTAAGGTGCCAGGTTCCCAAAGCCAAGTCCTCTTCTGTTGCTACTATGGTGTTCTTGTAGCCAAGAAAGTGCATCGGAGGACCTGTTCCATTTACAAGTTCTGTCTAGCTCATGCTTGACCTTGCTTAGATCCTCCTTTAGGATTCTTACCTACTCATCCCTTTTATACAGCTCATCTTTCATTTTTCCTAAATCTTCTTCTAGAGTGAGTTGTGTGTGATCAGCTGTCTATTTACCTGTTCCTAATTTCAGTTTCTTCATCAGATTCTCCAATGGCCATAAGTGCTTGTTCATCCTCATCATCATCATCTTCTGAGCTTTCATCTGAACTTTCTCCCCAAGCGGCGACCATAGCCTTAGTTGATCCTTTGTTGTTGTTTTTCCTGGGTTGAACATGTTCCTTCTTCATGTTCCTTCGTTCAACTCTTTCCTTCTTCCATTCAATTTCTCATAAAGGACAGTTCTTGATGTGGTAATCAGTCTTTCCACACTTGTAGCAGCCATCATTAGTTTACTTCTCGGGGGCTTTTGACTTGCTATAACTTCCACTTCTTGAAGAAACTTTCTCTCTCCTCAGGTACTTCTTGAAGTCCTTGGTGATCATAGCCATTTCATCATCTTCTATATCAGAACTTTCAGTGATTCTGAGTGCCAATCTCCTTTTCTTTTTTGGTACATCCATTTTTATGGTTTGTCTCCTAAGTTCATAGGCAGTGAGATTTCAAATTAATTCATCCAGTGGGAGAGTGGCAATATTCTTTGATTCCTGAATGGCAGTGATTTTGCTCTCCCAAGTGATAAGCAAAACCCTATTCAGTATCTTCTCGACTCTATCTTCTTAAGGAATAATCCTTCCAAGAGACTTTAGCTCATTTGTCAGTGTCATGAACCTTGTGTACATCTCTTGAATGGTTTCTCCTTCCCTCATAGAAAAGTTCTTATATTGAAAATACAGTAGAGTTCCTATAGATCTCTTCACCTAAGGTGTTCCTTCATGAGCCACTTGCAATGTGTCCCAAATTTGCTTAGCAGTGGTACAACTTTGGATTCTGTTGTACTCATCTGGACTAAGTCCATAAACATGTCATTTATTCTTCAAGTCCTCAGTAGTGCAATCCACTATTGTCTTTGGCACATCTACTCCTTTAGCATTTTTCTTCAAGGCAGCCAGTGGACCATCGGTGACAATGTCCCATAGCTCATAGTCCTCTCCTATAATGTGATCTCTCATCATATTTTTCTACCAAGAGTAGTACTGGTCGTTAAAGAGTGGTGGCCTAGCAGTGGATTGCCCTTCTCAGTTTTCAGGTGGTACACTCATGTTGATCTTCTCCTAAGGTGTAAGCCTCTTCAAGAAGAACCCGCTCTGATACCTATTGATATTTTGTATTTCAATGCCACACAAGAATGGGGGTGATTTGTGTGGTGTCTAATTTTTGTGTGCACTGATTATAGAAGGACCTGGTTCTTCTATTTGTTCCTTATTCTACTGTTGCAAAAATAGTAAATGCGGAAAGTAAAGAACACAAGTATTTTTACGTGAAAAACACCCAGCTCAAAAGGTGAAAAAACCACAACCTACTACTCAGTAGGATTTTTCCCAACACCTCACTAAATTACTGAGCCAAAACAGCATTTACAAAATTCTTTGTAAATCTAATGATTACCTCTAATCCTGTTGTGGCAACTGCCTCTAACTGTTGCGACAACTTCAAGTTAACTCTAACTTAAATACTCAGAGTACCTAATATAATTGCCTCTAGATAAAGCTGAAAGGTACAATTTGAAAAGCCCTACTAGAATTGAACTAGAATAAAAGACAGACACTTGGAACTGGTTCTTCTATATGTAGCTACAGGTTCGCACACTTGAATCACACGAGAATTATTTGGAAAATGCCTGGCTATTTTGCTCTCAACTTACGTTTAACTTCAGTGTTTGTGTGTCACCTGTAAAATGAGAACATCCTGTAATTTATAAAGTTTGTAGAATAGGAATAACTAGAGTTCTAATGCTATACTCTTTCTTGGTGGAAGAGTTCTAGTTATTTTCAACTTCTAACTCCTCCCTTATCTAGCATAGAGTTCTCTTCGAGTAAGGAGTCCTCCTTATCATGTATGCAACCTTTTCGTTCAGGAGATATCATATATAACCACTTAAGCTTATCTCCTTCACGTGTATGCCTTGTGCTTGAATCTGGCCGTATCTGCGTACTCTATGTATGGACCTGGTTCATGCTTGAGTTCTTTTATCAATCATCAAAAACATACTTTTCTTGGGTCCAGCTATATAGTTGGTTGACACTATCTTTGTCCATCTTGGACATAAATTAACATATTTCTGGCGTAAATTAGGCTTTGTCGTGTGGCAAACACGAGCATGAAAAATGATATTGTGTAAAGCTAATTGGTCGCGTCACCGAAGTACATATAATATGACCATTAGAATTAAATTAGTTAGTGCAAAATACAGGTGCTGCCTAAAAGGTTATGCTTTAAGCATAACCTGATTTTGAACCAACTTCACTAATCCGTTTGTCTTTTACTATACAGCTTTTCAAATAGATTATAAAAGTTCATGTATTCTTTAATAAAATTATAGGTGCCATTTGATTTTTGTTAATGCTTTGCTGATAAGTGATAAGAGAACTTGCATATGTACTTTGGTATGAACAATGGTATTAAGAAGGCCTAGCACCCCCTCCAAGTGTTGGTTAATCTCGAATGAAGACCAAATTATCTTTAGGGGATTGATTCTAAAGCGACTATACTTATTTCATTGCACCTCTATTATATATGTCTGTTAATTTCGATCCATAAATGTGTAACTCGTCTTACCTATTCAAACATGAGCAGATAGAGCGGGTGAAGTGTTAATTTTAGGGCTAATGGATGAGTAATCTATCCACAAAGTTGGATCAATTATTTGAACTAAATTAATACTAATCTCATATCAACTACAATAAGAGTTTTTGTTTACCCTCAGAAACGGATAAAAATTAAATTTGTTTGTGGTTTTAAGGATACGTGGATTAATTCGATACAAACGATATTGCGTTAGATTAAACAGATAGAGGAAGTAATAAATTATCAAACCACTTGAGGAGGGTGATTCCGGACTTAACAACAACCTTAATGAAATATCCGCCCTCGATCCCGGACTCACAATGACCAAGCACTAATGAACAAGAATAAGAACTTTGAATAATAGAGAAAATAATAGTAGATTGCTTTGATATGTGTGTTACAATATCGTTAGTGAATAATCAGACCCCAAGTCCTACCCTAGGTACAATTCCATAAAAGGTAAAAATCTTCCGTTTAACTAATCACCGAATTTCCGCCGGTACGTGCCGAGATCCACGCCGTGATACTCGACTGGTCACGGATATCACGGCCTTCTGTTAATCGTGCTCGGTTGCCCGATAATGCTCTCTGAAGTCTTTTGGGATTTGGACCGATCCCGGAGTCATGGCCCCGACATTCCCGAGGGCGGGCGTTGTGCCCCCGGACCCTGGCCCGATGAAACCCTTGTCTCGATTCCGGTTCCTTATCATCACGTCTCTCGCTCGATTTACCTTATTGGAAACCGGGGTTTCCCATGGGCCCAGTTTCACCCGTATACAATTTTATCAAAAAATCAAATTAATGCGAATAAATGGTTTTGAAGACGTATTTCTATTTATTGATGCTATTTTCCGTTTTGTCCAAGTAGGATTCGAAGTATCGGTTTTATCGGATATAGAACTCCTTCCGGCTGTGGTTTATTCAACCGGCGTTGAAAACCGAAATGGATTCTTTACAAAATGAATTACTTCTACTAACTAAGGTTCCATAACTTACCAATATATAATTCTCCTGCATTCTAATGGTGTTCAACCGATTTGTCATCCTTTTTTGGACGTAGCGGTGATCCAACCATTTGTGTTTTAGAGGTGCTTTAGACAGATATACATCCCTTCTTTCTTAATTAAAGATCATTATCATCTTAATAATATATAGAAATTAAATCGGTCACCACTATTAGATATGTAAAGTTTAGAAATAAGTCATTATTTCATGTCTGATGTCTTTCCCCACTAATCATCAGTCATCACCACCAAAATTCTATTAATGTCTTCTGTATCTTTTATCGCCTATGATATATGTCAGTAAACTTTAGGTTTGGTAAGCGATGACGCCAAACTAATAACGAGGGCATAGCCAAGGGATTTTGCAGTATATACGAAGATTGATATATTGGAGCTCCTCTAAGTTAGCACAAGGTAATATATATAGGTAATGAATTAGCAACATCTGCTATATATACAATAAGCAAAACTCAAATGCCAATCTGTAGTAAGCCAAGTTAAACTAATTGACAATACAAAATCCTGCTATTTGGAAGACAAATTTGAGGTAAAACCACATAGAATTTTATATACTACTTAATGGATCTTTTAGTATCCTTTACAAAAAAAGGCACATGACTGAGAAACTTAAAGGTCGAACCTAGCTCAACAACACCGATAACACTTTCTCCATGTTTTCTTTTTTCATAAACCAGTTCAAGTTTGAATTAAGAAGTGAGAACAGTACAAGTGCTGTTATAAGCTTGGGTTCTATGTCTTTTATTATAAGTATTATGAAGATGAAGGAGGCACTCGATTTGGTGATGAAATTTGGGTTTGATAAGACCCCAAACAACATGGAAAGTTGAAGTGAGATGCACGCGTAGGAGGAGAGGCAATCCTTTCCCAGATTGGAGCATGTCTTGCATTATTCTACCTGCCCCATACATTGCCTTTTCCCTTGTCCCTACATTTAGCTTGAAGTATGTTTGCCCATTGCTCCCTGCATATAGCTCTTCTCCCTAGCATGGAACAAAGACACATGTAAAAAATATTTATGTAATCATATTACTTATAGAGTAAGCACAAGTAAACTTCTATTGATAGTTAATAATAATTTGGTAAAAATAGTAACTAATCTATTATCATATGTTAAACTTATATAAACTTGTTGAATCGTGAGGAAAATGCTAGTACGTTTGCTCATTTGTCTCATGAAAGAGGAGCTCTAGTCCAGAATATATCTTTTTTGGGCAAAATACATAAATTGACTTGGTCAGCCGAAACTAATTACATTAGCTAGCCAAAAAATTATAAAAAATATACTTATATTATATGTATATAATATACATATATAAAAAAAAAGTTGTCGACTATTATCTTTTAAAGCGGCTAAAAATATACATTTCTTATATTTGTTTTGTTAAAGTTGAAAAAGAATTTTTGACAGCTTCATTTCAGTCAAGTTAAAATGAGAAGGAAAAAAACAGAGTTATAACAAAAAATGCTGTTATTCTCTTAAAATGTAGAATACATGGTAAACTTAGCAAACATTGTATGAATCATGGGTGTCAATTTTGACCCAAAAAATGAGCGACATATTTATTTAGTGATTAAAATGAGTGTAGCCTAATCAACCATCAAAGATGTTCGGCAACTTGGGCTGTATTCTTAGCCCAAATCAACTACTAGGACACTTTTTGTTGAAAAACTGAAAATGGAAGGACAAACACATACTTTCAAATGTACAATATAATTTTAATATAATACACAACAAATCATGTTTCTACCAACTCAATTATATTGCTAAAATTTAGAAACAAAGTAACCAGCAAGCTGGAAATTATTTGAGGTTACACAGTGAAATACTCTTAATTCATCTTGATCCAACTCATTTTATCCTAGTAACTCTAGCTCATTTTAACTTATCCGAATCAAAAGTTGTATGGCCAATGCTGAAAATCAAAGAAGTTGGATTCTTTTTTCTGATGAATTAGTTAAACTGCATATGCTGCGGAGACATATAATTAAAATAAAAAAGAAAATAACATAGATAAGAAAGTGCAATTGGTTAAATCTTACTTGTGCTAATATGAAAGGGACCCTTCCAAAATACATTTCCATTGCAGGGGGTTGAATGTAAAGCCCAAACAGCTTAGACTTGTTATCTATTTGTAAACTCATGGAATAATTGCATGTAAGCATTTTGGTATTTACACCAGTTCCATCCACTCCCTCTCTTAATCCAAATTCACGAACACCAGCAATCTACAATAAATAGTTACATAAAAATAATTATTTAAGTAAAATACACTAAAAATGCAAAATTTTATTAATGCAGCATTAATGTAATACATAGTTTAACATGTGATAGCAGATTAATTAAGAAATATTTGTTCTAAGTGAGAAAAATGAAAAGTTAAGTTAATGCCAAGCGCATATCTTGTTATTGACATGATATAAGTTCTATAAAATAACACTAATGCAAAGTAGTGACATATGATAGACATTCAAAGAAGATAGATTATTTCATTCACTAAAAATATCAAATATCGGTTTGATAAATAAGCTTGTATGCCACTCAAGAAAGCAAGAAAATGAATAGACAACACTAGTTTTTTGTAGCTTAGACCAGGGGTGTACATGGACCGGGTTGATTCGGTTTTTATCAAAATCAAATCAAACCAACTATATCGGTTTAAATTGATTTGGTTTTACCGAGTTTTTCGGGTTTATGGGTTTTTTTTGTTACATGAATATTATTCCAATCTTACTTTGTTAAAATTATAGATAAAGTTTTGATAAGTGAATATATGTTTAGTAAATATTGAAAAAATTGACAAACATATGATCTATTAAAATATTCTAATGGGAGAATTTTTTTAGTAACACATGATAGTTATTTTCTTAGTCGTATAACAATAATTTTCGTTAATGTACGATTTCAAGGTTAACACATGAGAGGATCCCAAATATTCTAACATTTTTTAAAATAAAATTCAATATAAAGTCTTAAAAATATATATATAAATTATATATTTATATGTCAGTTTGGTTCGGGTTTTTTTACTCAATATCAAACCAAGTCAAACCAAACATAATTGAATTTTTTAATCGGTTTGGTTTGAATTTCCGGTTCGCTTTTGAATAGCGCTAGCTTAGACAACTAAAATAGCAGACACGCACATGTCAAACATGCTTCACTATTCTTCATCAAAATATCGTATTATTATCTGTACTAAAGATACTGAAGAACTGCAATTCAATGAAAAGGACTATATTTTTCCTTCATCAATCATTATGTAGCAACATGCCAAGTATTCTAGCATAAAAATGGCGATGCCAAATGTAGAAAGGATAAATGAAATGATGCTTTAAGTTATGAGTGGCTAATGAGGCTGAATTCCACAATTGTAAATAAAATTTTGTCAGAAGGGATTGATATGATACAGATAAAACGGTGTTAGTAAGAATTAGTTTGATATAAACATTGAGTGTGAGTAAATATATTTTCAAAAATTAAAGGTTAAAGATAAGGAAAATGTGCAAATATAAAAATTGAATGTTTTCCGACCAAAATGAATATTATCCCATAAATCAAGGATGTCAAAGAAATACAACGGCTTAAATATATATACTTTTTGACATGCTGAATCTGAGATAAATTCTCTGATTATTAATACTCCTTTTTTTTAAAAAATAATACCTGTTCTACTTTCTATATTAGCTGATGTTGGAACAAAAGTAAAATATATCTTTACATTTTTTCGTTCTACTTTTAATATATCCAAAAGGTACTTCGAGGTTCATTTTTGTTGTAAAAAAAAGGCTTCAACAATTTGACGAAGTCAAATTGAACATAACTTTTTCCACTTTTAGTTAAAAATATAATAAAACTTAGTAACTTACCTGAATTGTCATGTCAGAACTTAACGGGATAGCTAAATTGGGATGGATTGAATGGCCTTTTCACTACTATAGTTCTTTAAGATAAATAGATAAGAAGTATTTTACCCTCTTCCTCGCTACCCAATTACAAATATTCAGTAACTAAATTTGTCTCTAATTTGAAATTTCCTTCGGACTTTTTCTACTAACCCGTTCCAGAAACTATTTTACATTCGGTAGCCAAAGATGTGTATATAATTTGTACAATTTTTGAATATAATATACATAATGTATATATATACAAAAAATATATATTTTTTCGGCTATTATTTTGAGAGCGACTATACAGTGTCAACTTCTTATTTCCTTTTTTTCCTTTTCCCGGAATTTTGCATCTAATTTTTCTTTTCTATCTTTCTACAAAGAACCCTGCCCACCATAAATCGAAGTGTTTATGGAGGGTGAAGTACACAAATAGCTCTCACAGTCGATAGTTTTAAACTTTTATTCTTATTTGTCCCATAGGCAGAACTTCGAGTTTAACAAGTGTTGCCTCTCGCCTGCCTCGTGGTCAATATTTTTAACTTTTGATTTGAAGTTCTACCCACGGAGCAAGCAGGGGTCAAAAGTTAAAGACAACCCTAAAAGTATCATATATCTGCAATTCTTTGGTTTCCGAACCCAGCATTATCAAGCCCAGTGGGGCTTGAGTTGGACTTCCTTATAGGGCCTCATGTGGAGTTTATATCGAATTTAGGGCCCTTCACACCTTCTCCAATTTTTCTTTACTAAATGAGCTTTCATTCAAAAACGCTACCCTCGATTTGACACCTTAGGTCTTCTCAATGCCTTTACCAGAAATCTTATGTCCTTTCAACTTGGAAAGTTTTCCCTTTTCAAAAAATCCATATGTCAATCGTTTTTAAATAATTGAAGCAAATTTGGTAATCGAATACTAGAAAATCAACCAAAATATCTTCTCCAAACAAAAAATCAATCCAAATGTAAGCTTTCAGGAACAGACACAAAAGTTGTCCAAAATATTTTGAAACACACGACTGTTTTCCATAATTTTTTTAATAAAAGGATCTTCAAAATGTAAGCCAAAACCAAATCCAAACGCCATATTTTAATTTGGTACTCTAGAAAGATTAGCTCCTAAATGATGTCTGGCCTTTCGAATAGCAATGAAGGAATATAGTAATCATAAAATAATGAATAAATGACAAAAAATGTATAAGACTGCGCTTCAATGGAAAAAACAAATATAAGTAATAAAATCTAAAATAATCATTAACTACTAGTATGGTGGAAATGTTGAAATAAATAAGCTTAAATGGGTCGGGGAAAGGCAACATTGAAGGTAGGTAGGAAGTGCTTCTATTTTTAATGTGCTTTACGCGATCTAAATTCGACTATAAAAAGAAAAAAGGAAAAAGATGATAAGATTGTTACCTCAAGAGAAACCTTAGGTGCAGGGGGCTTTGTGGCAACGTAGAAAACTACCAAAGCTATTATCATACTCACAATAAGCCTCCAAGTTACTTGCAAAACAATCCACGGTGTCGAATCCGAATATCCCAAAGAAAAAAACCTCTTCCAATTTCCTTTCCCATAATAATAATCCTCCTCTTCATATTCATATTCATCCTCATATTCATTCCCCTCTTCAACACTATTACCATTTTTCCCATGTAGCAATAATATTGCACCACAATGTTTCTCATGATCAATCTCAACGTTCTCATCATTAATTCCTGTTTCATGGCTCTGAAGCGAGTCACACGATATCTTCTTCTCGTGATGTGAGAATGAATGGTTAGATCCACGAGATGAGTATCGAGAGAGAGCCAATGGACCGACCTCGGGTTGAGGGATTGGGGAATGACATACTGAAAACTCGTTAATATTATTGTTTTTGTTGTTGTTATTATTACGAGTGAGTTCTCCGCTGTTTGCATGCGAGATAGTAGATGGACTTTGGACGAAGTAAAGTGTATAAGGAGAATGTCGAAACAAGGCTTCCTCCTCTGAATCCATCCTATAGTTAGCCATGTTTTTTGAGATGAAATTTAGAAAATGAAATAGGAGAAGGAAAAGAAGAAGACGAAGAGAAGGAAGTATGATTTCACTGACAAGTGAAAGTGTCTTTGGAGGGTATTTTAAAATAAGAGAAAAGCAAATAAAGAGACGTTGCTTTTGAGGTTGGCTTTGCTTTACTTGAGACATCATTACCCTGAGTTTGCAAGCCTTACCACATTGTGAAACTCAAAGCTTTTTAATTATTTATTTTTTAAAACTTAAACTCTTTTACTTCTCAATCCTTTTTCATTTAAGCATTATTTAAGTGGATTTTGTAATCATAATTGTGTATTACATGAGTAATACAGGAAAAATATTATTACTCCTAAGTGATAGTTGAAATTTAAGTTTAAAAAAAACATCAAATTGAAAATGTTACGTACCAAATTAAAAAGAGTCATGTGATAATGAGGAAGGACTGGGTTACTATTTTACTTATTTTAATCTATTGTTGTCTTTTTGTGGAAAATAACCATAAATTGGTGCCTTCAACGAAAAGATTGCTCCCTGTTAATCTTCGGACATGTTTGGGAAAAATTAATACTTTATAGTCACTCTTAAATTAAGCGAAAAAGAATATTCTTTATATATATATATACTTTTATGTATGTTATTTTCAGACTTATCTAATCGTCGCTTTCTAAAAGTGATTGACATTTTTTGGTAAGTGGAAATGGTAGTATGGTCACAGTAGACTGTTCATTTGCATTAGTTTGGCCACTTTCACACGATAATTTTGTTTTTCCCGAAAAAACTTCTGCATCTCAAAGTAGAATTGGAAAATAGTAGGAAATTCGAAAGAGATAGATCAGACCAATTCTTTCACGTATCATTATTGTTGCACCAACTAATTAATTTCATAATTAGCTGAACTGGAATATTCATGATCAGTTTTAAGTATATTATAATACTTATTATATTTTAGTAAATTAAACTAATATAACACTATGTTAACAGATTATAAAGATGTCAAATTAAGTGGAGATATAAAATAATTAATTATACAGTGATTGGACTCCTTAGAATTTTGAAATTTCATTAAAGCAAAAATGGTAATAAATCTTTTAACACACAAGCTGAAAAAAAAGAAAAGAATAAGAGGTCATAACTAACGATTCATTTGTTAAATACTATCTCCTTCACATTACATTTTACTTCTAATTTTTTTTGGTTACGTCCCATTTTATTTTGAACATATTATTAATGTAAGAATCGAACGTTTATTCTATTAAAATGAAAATGGTGTTACTCTTTAAATATTTTTTAGTGTTTGTATAAGTGAAAAAACATCGACTTGCATGTGCAGAGTAAAATATTCTTTTAAAAAGTCATAACCCTCTATTATTTCCTTAAACTTAAAGATTTCTTTCATGTTTTCTAAAAGTGAAATGACTTTCTTGATATTGAGCAGAGATTAAAAATAGCTCTCTTTGCTGGAGGTTATTACATATAGTGTCAAAAAAAATTCAATAATCTTGATCGTTATGAGAAGGTTTCACTACATCAATTTTCAACAAAAGCAATTTGTTATTCTAACTATTGGTAGAAGCTTTTCAATGTAAATTGTAGCAATTAAGATTAATCGAGCTATTAGTGTAAGCCATCTCCATAATACGAAGCCGGTAATCTCATTGTTACGATACTTTGGCCGAAAATTACGGAAGGGCCACTGTCTGTCATAATTAAATTGATTTAATTAACCTCTAGTGCCTATAAATAGACTATACTATTGTATGCTTTACACCGAATTGTTTCCCCTTTTTATGTCCGAGGGAATGATGACAATTTAAGCACGCTTTTTCAGCATCTAACGGTATGCTTCCTTTCCAATTTATTTATTTTCCCATGTCTCATGTTTAGCATTGAGCCCTACCAGATTCTTGTGTTTGTCTGGGATAAAGAAAAAGGAGAAGAGTTGAGTGAAAATGTATCCTTGCACTTTTAAGATGCAAGGTTATTATTTATTTTATTTTATTTTATATGTTTTGTTACTATTATTGTTACTATTAATTCTAATAAAGAATGAGAAAAAGAACAAGAAAATACGAGATTATCTATAATTTGGAGCTATTTACTCATAAGTGTTTGCAGCAAAGCGCAAACATATTTCACAATTCAATCTTAAGAGAATATATTTCATATTTTTCCGAAGTGAAACTAATGCTGTCCATAAAACATAAAGACAGAGTTCAGACTTCAGAGTATGCATGTCGGATTGAGTTGAGATACAAAGACAAAAGAAAAATTAAAAAAAGAATGTAATTTATCAACTAAAATACACTTGATTTCTCTATAATTTGCTATAATTCTAGATCTTATGGAAAGGGAGGAGGTGTAATAGTAATAAGAAATAGTAAAAATAGTTATCTTTCTTGGTTTTGAAGGCAGTAAATGAATTGACCTGCAAGATTTCTAATGGTTGCTATGATTAGAGTTGATTATGAGACCATCCAAAATAAAGCAAAGGATGGAATTGGCTCTTGCTTTATTACAAAGAAATCATTCAACCCACCTATTGTATAAAAAAAATGTAAGATATTTATCTTGCGCATTTTTACATTCATTTTCATTTATTTATACAAAAAATAAAGAATAGAAATTTTACAAATCACGTTTTAAGAACATAATAATGCTCATTATCAATTGTACTAGAATATATAAGTCTTAAAATACACCTGGGACGAGGATGTGTCTGTTATTTGTGATTTACCCAGTATTAAGCATTTCCATATAAAATGAGGGTATTGTGCTCCACATCGACAATTAACGTTTATTCTATGTTTTGTTCAAACCCTCTCGAATCACTCAATCATCATTATTACCATTACAATCTACATATTCATCGTGATTTTCTTTAACGATGTTGTATCAAATGGATTTGCATTGTGATATCACTAACTAAAGAGTAAACCCCACCAGCTATTGTTTTGGAGATGCCTTCTCTAAATTCCCTTAGGTTTCATCCGATTTTGCAATTCTCGAAATTGAGCCTAGTAAGGATTAGAGAAATTGGCAATGTACATACCAATTCCTCACAACTATTAGGAAGATTTTAGCTAAAATTGACTTGGCAACTAAAGCCTAAAAACTTGACAATGAAATAGTCAAATCGTAGGTCTATTTTCTTGTTGAAAGATTTCAAAGTAGAAGAAGCAAAATTGTATGGAGAATTTTCTGTGTATTTTCTATTCACTGTACCAATGTATTTATACAAGTATAAAAGGAATAAAAGAATAAAATCTGTCTAATTTCCTATTGGCCTAAGGCTAATAATATGTAACTACATGTATGACTCATTAGAATCTACATGTGCTAGAGAAATCTAGAAGGTGTATTTACAACAGTAAAATTGGTAATAATCAGATGGTTGATATTTAATCTATCATCTCCAGGATCAAGGGTTGAGCTGTCTCCACGTGTCTTCTTTAGGGATGAGACAAAATGTGCATTTGTCTTCAGACCATTTTTAGGTCTTTCATTTGTAGCCAAATGTGTACTTCTCTTCTTTCCATATGTATCGACATCAATATTATTGATGCGATTTTCTCCAGCAACATCCCCTCACCCCTTAAGTGGAAGGATCGGACATTCAACTTGAACAATAAAGATCGGTGAAGAGGCCCAGCAAGAGCCTTAGTAAAGAAATCCACCAACTGTGAGGAGGAAGGAACAAAGGATAAAGAAATCTACCCGTCAAGAAGTTTTTCACAAATAAAGTGACAATCAAGCTCTATATGCTTGGTTTGTTCGTGAAAGACGGAATTTTTAGCGATGTGAATCGTTGCTTGGCTGTCACAACGAAGAGGCACCAGCAAAGAAGGTGTAATGGTCAGATCTTGGAGGAGACGAATGACCCAAGTGATTTCGTCCACCAGACGACGCATAGAGCGGTATTCTGCCTCTGCTGAAGAAAGGGCAACTATAGGCTGCTTCTTGGACTTCCAAGAAATTGGGCCACCTACAAAACTCAAGAAAAATCCACTCACTGAATACCTAGTGTCGGAACAGGAGGCCTAATCGAAGTCATAAAATTTCAAAATTTGGAAAGAGGGCTCCGGCGATAAAAAATAGTCCTAAGTCGGGATCTTTGCTAAGATATCTCAAAGTGTGAAATGTTGCTTGAAGATGGCCAAAACAAGGATATTGCATATACTGACTGAGTGTCTTGACATCATAAGATAAGTCGGGTCTAAAATTGATAAAAAAGTTCAACTTTCCCAAAAGCTTTCGATAAATCATAGGATCCGACAGTGGGGTACCACAATCAGAGGAGAGCTTAATAGTGGGATCCAAAGGTGTAGAAACTAGTCGAGAATCTACACATCAAAATTCAGAGAGCAAATCCAAGACAAACTTGCGTTGGGTAATCACTAAACCTCCATTTTCTCTAATTAATTCCATCCCTAAAAAATAATGATCTTCCCCCAAGTCTTTAATTTGAAATTCATTGTTCAAAAAATCCTTTAGCTCATAAATTTCTTGTTAGTTATTTCCGGTGAGCAAAACATCATCGACATAGACTGTGAGAATTGTTACCAAATCCCCTGTTACTTTGAAGAAGAGGGTATAATCATTTAGGGAAGCAGTGAATCCTCTGGTATCCAAAATAGAAGATAAGCGAGCATACCACTGACGCGAGGCTTGTTTAAGGCCATACAACGATTTGCGAAGACGACAAACATGATCAGGAGAAAGAGAGACCAAACCGGGAGGAAATCGCATGTACACTTCTTCATCAAGATCTTCTCGAATCACCAATTGTGCCTTTAATCTTTCCAAAGAGCCATATGATTTCAATTTTACCTTGTACACCCATTTACATGGTAATGTTGTCTTGCTTTTTGGCAATTCAACTATATCCCGTGTGCGATTAGAGTCCAAAGCCTCAAATTCTTTATCCATAACAGCCTTCCAGCCAAGATATATAATAGCTTGGTGGTAGGAAGAGGGTTCAGATATTTGGCATATAGAGTTAATAAGTACCATATTTGATGCTAATAGTGCAGAAAAATAGAAATAATATAAGGGAGAATAGGGGATCGGAGAAATAACAGAGTATGCAGACCAA